GGCGACCCCGCCCCGCGCACACCCCCGGCGCCGAGCTCCGCCCCTCCCGGGGAGCCATTGTTCCTGGGCGGGCTGGGGTCGTCGCCTGCCCTCGGGCGGGCCGGGTGGCGCCGAGGATGCCCGACTGTGCGCTCGGGCGCAGTCGCCGCCTCTCTTTGTGAGCCTTTCCCGAGCGCCTTTTAACCCTTGAGAAGCTCAGGTGGTCCGTCGTGTGTTTTCCAGGTGAAGAAACTGAGCCATCGAGAGGTAAAGGTGACTTATCCAAGGTCACGTCCCAAGAAATGGGCAGGATAGAGATTAGAACCAGGGTCTCACTGCAGCTGGGCACATCTTTGGGGAGGGGTGGCTTAAACCCTAAAACCACACCCCACCCTATTCCCAGATAACTACATCCATCGGCAGAATCTTAAAAGTCTGTTAGTGTCTCCCGTTCATAAGAGCAAAGATTTAGAGCGGATTTGCTATATCCAAGGCCTGGAGGAAGCTCTTAGCCTGTACTCTCTGAAGCAGTTTTCTACAGCCTTTCAAGGGAGTTTTCATTCTGATCTTTCCCTCGTGTGGCAGTTGAGACCTAGTCTTAGAGAGATCTGCCACCCAGTCCAGTACTCTTCCTGACTCGCCCTGCGAAGTTGGAAACTACTCAGATGCAGGCAAAAAGATCACTGACTGAATTCTTGGAAAGTCCTCTGCCTTTTTCGGTCTATTATTGTCTGCAAAGAGGTCTTATGACCTCATTGTAAAATTAAGACGTGCAAAAAGCCATTCCAAGAAAAGTCATAATCTAAATAGAAAACACATACTGAATATAAAGATTATAAAAGTCAGGAAGAGAAAGCTGACATTCACCAAAAAAAAAAAAAAAATGTGGACAATACATGAAAAAGGTTTAAAGCCACTAGCAATGAAAGAAAAGATTTAAACCACAAAAAACTTTCCCCTTTGGATGAGCAACAGGAGTTCAAAGGATTGGCAACACTTAGCACTATTCATTAATACATTTTGCACGGACAACTTGACTATATTCTGGTATTGGAATTCATCCTTTAAAATGGTTCAACAGGAGGCTGGTAGCGTCGGAGCCAAGTGGAATGGGTCAGGATGATCATGGGTGTGCACCTCGCCATCTTCGCCAACATGCTGGGTGTGTAGCTTTTCTTGCTTGTGGTTCTCTATCACTAAATGGCAGTCAATAATCCCAAGAAGCAGGAATAAAAGTGGCACCTTCTCCATCTCAGGGTTCCAGGACATAGTGTGAGGCAAAATGGAGGGTGTGAGGGGCCTTCACACTTCATTTCATCCTTCTTACCCATTACAGCATACAAAGCAACTACACCTGGATTTTTGCAAACAGCTTTTATTTCCTCAAAGTCTTCCTTAACCCTATGGAACAAGAAGCTGTCACTGAATAGGGCCCAGTTGTAGGGGCTGCTTTCTTTTCTACTCCCCCACAATACAAAAATATATATATTTTTTGGTGGTCGAAAAAAATGGTTGAACAGGCATACAATAATGAATAAATGAGGATGTTCATCAGAGCCTTTTTGTAATAGTAATATATAGCCTTGGTATTTGTTCATCAGTAGAGACCAAAGAATATGATTTGGAGATCTTTGCAGCTTTCACGATAATTAGCCTAAGGTTTACTGGTATGGAAAAGGGGATACTAGTAAACATGTGTAAGAAAATCCTGGGTGCTGGAGAGAGGGCTCTGCTGTTAAGGACTGCCTACTACTTTAGCAGGTTCCAGGCCAACTCGAAAACACAAACAAGAGAACTATCCATATGTGTATCTATGTTTCCTTTTAAATTATTCTGTCATGTGTTTTATCTAAATAAACCTGCATCTTTAACATTCTTTTAAGGTTTGCCTCAGGCCCCAGAACCATTAGCCTGGCTCTTCCAACTAGCCTGAATCTGGAGTAATCCAGCTGCTTCCTGCTGGATTGGATGCTTCTTCTGTAAACTGTGTCTTCACTCTCCCAGCTCCAGTAGTCTGCCTTAAATTTCCATTTGTCTTCGGAACCATAGGCCTGGCAGAAATACTAAGAGAACCCAACCACCAGAGGCAGAAGATCTCTGTGAGTTCAAGGCCAACCTGGTCTACATAGTGAGGTCCAGCCAGCTGGAGCTATAGGGAGACCCTGTCTCAAAAAGACCAAAGGAAAAAGAGAGAGAGAGAGAGAGAGAGAACCCAACTTTAGTGTAAATTGAAAGCAAACAACCCTGGGGTCATAAATCACAATTCGAATCTGTATCTTTCTCCAGATTAGGTAAGAAAAACTCAGCACAGTTTTCTCAAAGTTTTCACATTGAAAAGGAATCTGGAAAAGGACTCGACTTCAGAGAGAAAGGGTTTCTCTTTTTATCATACAGAGAGGAAAAAGGATCTTAGAGGTTATCTGGTAAAACCCCCCATCATACACAGTATTGGTGATCCAGATAGCAAAACTATGTGGGACTCCTACATAAAAACCGCCCAGAGTTTAGAAGGAATGTAGGTTTCTGAACACCACTACACGCAGTCTGAAGTTTTAGTGTCTCTTATTTCTTTTAAAATCCTCTAAATAACTCAGATACTCTGCCAAGGCTAGAAACCCAGACCTAACCTTGATCAATCAGCTGCTACTCCATAACAAACAGTCATAAAATTTCAGCACTGTGAGATGATAATCACTTCTCATAGATCTCATAGGCATTTGGGATTGGCTGATCCAGGCAAAGCCTGGCTGGATGTCTCTGCTTCAAACTGTAGATCCATCTTGGCTTGGATCCAGTGGCTGAGCTCTGGGCCACTCCACTGGTATTAATTCTGGGGCCTTGGCTAAAAGGAGCAGTGGTCCCAACAGGAATTCTCAGGTAGACAGAGCAGTAATTCAAAGCCCATCCACAAGCAGGTCCCTCCTGCTATTTGTCTATGTCTGTGAACATCCCACTAGCTAAAGCCAGTCCTAGACATGAACCCAAAGACAAGAAGTAGGGAAGTCTGGTATCGTAGATTTTGTGAACTTGACACAAACCTAAACATATCTAGGAAGAGGGAACCTCAATTGAGGAATTGTCTCCATGAGATTGGCCTGTGGGAATGTCTGCAGGGCATTTTCTTGATTCCTGATTGATGTAGGAGGACCCAGCCCACTAAGGGTGGTGCTACGCCTAGGCAAGTGGCCCTGGGCTGTATTAAAAAAAAAAGGTAACTGAACAAGCCAGGGGAAGCAAGCCAATACTGTTCCTCCATAGTTCCTGCCTTGAGTGAGTTCCTGCATTGGCTTCCCTCAGTGATGGACTGTTACCTGGAAGTATAAGGTAAAATAAATGTCCTCAAGTTGCTTTTGGTCAGTGTTCTATCACGGCAACAGAAATCAAACTAGAACATCTGGGCTAGGAGATGACTCAGTGTAAAGTGTTTATTGTATAAGCATGAGAACCAATCATGGTCCAATCATCCACCCCACACAAAAACTGAGTGTCCAGTGTGCTCCTGTAACACCAGGACTGGGGATAAACAAAGACAGCAGGATCTCCAGGGCTCACTGGACCAGCTAGTCCATCCTAAAGGGCAAGTCTAGGTTCAGTGAGATAGCCCATCTCAAACCTAAGGTGGAAAAGCTTGGTGAGGTGGCTCAGTGAGTAACTCTTTACTGAGCAAGCATAATAAAAGGACCTGAGTTGCTGGGAGTGGTGGTGGGCTCTTGTAACACCAGCAGTGGGAGTAGAGGGGTGGAGACAGACAGATCCTGGCACTCCCTAGCCAGCCAGCCTAGCCATTTAGTGGTTCAGTAATGAGAAATCCTATCTCAAGGAAATAAAGCAGAAAGTGACAGAGCCAGGAACTAGACATCCTCCACCCTCCACAAGTGCATGCACAGGCACAGACAACTACATACACCACATGCACACATGCCACCACTACATACCACCCACACATACACACAGGCACACACATACATACTATACATACACAACACATATCCCCCCCAAAAAGGGAAGTCTGTTCTTAAAATAGTGATTGGATATTTTTGAACAAAAGCCTATAAAGGGGTCCTATATTTGAATATTTATTATGCTCTACCAGAATGTTTTTAGTTCCAAATTATAAAAAACTCAAATTTAACCAAAAAAGGATGGGGGGGCTCAATTTTAAGAAAAATAAGTCAAAGGCAGTGACTTCTATGAATTGGTTTTTATCCCCAATAATAAAGCTTGACTCATGGAAACAGTCATTCCTTTAAGAAACCTGTCAGAGCATTCACTGCTTACTAAGCAATACAGCAGGCTCTGAGGCAAGAGGTAATCCTGCCCTTGCTGTGTGGGGGCGGGAAGACATCTGAAAATTAACAGTTACAACACAGTGTGAGAAATACTAAACATAAACTGAGGGTGGGAGTGGAGTAAATGGCAAATCCCATTCCCACTCCCAGCCCTGCCAAAATCTCGGCTTTGCCGGACCTCCTGCTGGCTTGGTCTAGCTCCATAATGAAGTCCTGAGAAACAGTAATGAGACACCTTGGGGCTGACTAATTGGCCCTGGAAGGAGAGAGCCACTATGATTGAGCCAGAAACAGGGAGAGGGGTGATTTATGGTGGGGCACTGCAACAGCCTGGGATTAGCATCTAATCTAATTGGGAGACTGGATCCTACTTCTTGGAGAAGGGGGGAGCGTTCTTTAAAAAATGGAAAGTTAGGGGCTGGAGAGATGGC